AATTGGAAGTAATTGAGTCGAGTGTTTCGCAAGATGGGAATAGACTCGTTTCTCTCACTTCCCCTGCTTCTATCTCTCCATCTCTCCCTCTTGTCCCTCGTGTCCGCTCTCTCCATTTTTGAAGATTTAATCCGTCGTCTCTTACGTCGGTCATTAATTACGACACGGCTGGCTGCTCGCTCTCTTTCTCTCTCCCTCTCTCACTCCGACTCTCCATCACACCATTTATAAAATTTTCGCCACGGCGTTTCGCATTAATGGTATGTATATACAAGTAGAAGGAGAGAGAGAGAGAGAGAGAGAGAGGGGGGGCAGAGAGGGGCAGAGGAAATAGGGAAAGAGAGATAAAGGGTGGATTTATATCGGCACGTTCGACGATTCGCCGAAATATTCGCGGACACGCGCAATAACAAATATACCATTCGTCGTTAAAGAGACCGCCGTTCGCGGAAATATACGAGCTATGCAATTTTTATCGGCGCACGCCAGCGACGGGGCGGCGTATGTAATTTATGCGCGTCACGTCTCACGCGAGAGATTCCGCGATCCCTCACGCAACTTATTCGCGCTGAAAGTGGCACGGACAATCGCACGTGAATCAGACATTTCTCTAAAACGCGTTAGAGGCGGCGAACACGAGCGCGCCTCACCTTCGCGTCGCTGCTTCACTCCGACCGGTCGCTTCTCGCGCGACGTGACGCAAAATGAAGAAAACATTACGTAACGCTGAAGATATCGAAAAAAGCGCGGGATTATAAGTCGCGCTCGCTGTCTGCAAACGCGAACGAAGAATCGACGTGTAACATCCCTTCGTAATTTTCTACGCGATACATGTCAGCTTGTTCCTCCCACCTCCTATCTCTCTCTTTCTCTCTCTCTCTCTCTCTCTCTCTCTCTCTCTCTCTCTCTCTCTCTCTCGCTTTCTTTCATTCGATGCATCGATACCTCGGGTTGCTCCGTGCACTGCGATACGGACACGTATTAACGCGGTAACAGACAGAGAGGACGGCTTTGATTAACGATCCGCAAGGTGACGGACGAATTAAACCGGACGAGAAATAACGGACGAAAAATAACGCACTCGTTAACCATACGTCGCGCGACGAGCCGAATGCGATCACTGTCACAAATCCTCACGGCTTTTTGTGTTCCCGTTATTGTCCCGAGTCTGCGATGTTGCTTCCAACATTTGCGAGACTGACCGTGCGCGCATCAATTTACAATTAAAAATGGCTCGGACGATAAGTCGCGCGTTTCGCTCGCGCTCTCCACCGATATTGGAAAATAATTCGACGGGAGGCTCGGTCGAATATAAATTACTCGGTAAATATTTCAAGCGAATAAACGGATATCACTACGGAGGGAAGACAGATTCCGCTCGCGGGAATTATGCGCATGATCTATCCGCGAATAATTCAGAGGCCCGGCCCGCCTCCTAACACGGGCGTCAAACTTCTCACCTTCGCCCGGAGTCCGCGCAATTAAATGTTAAAGAAGCGGCGGCGGCGCACGAAGGCAAACGTCTTGCACGCATGCCATCTTGGAGCATCCTTATTGTCGGTCGTTAGCCGCGCGACGAGAAGTCGTTAATTTCTTCGACTTCCCGACGGTTGCTCCCTGCGTAACAAAGGAGGAAACTCGCGCCGCGATCACGCCTGCCGCTGCTACCCGCCCCGTCAGTGTGACGCCCCGTTCAAATTTATTCAAATGCACGCTGACAAATGGAATATAGGCATAAGCAGGCGAATAGAGAGACTGAGGCGGAAGGAGCGAAAGAGACAGATGGGAGAAGGGGAAAAGAAAGAGCGAGAGAGAAACTGAGAATGAGACGAGTATTCGCGCGAAACTCATCAGAGTGATGGCCACACAGAGGAACTGTCGGTTAGGCAAGCTTGACTGGATTACAAAGACACGCTGGAAATGCGCGAATCCACCATGCGCTGTGCATCGCATAGCTGTGTGGAAATGGCGTTTCCACCGCTTCGAGACGTCACCCCGGATGTTAAATCCACGAATTCTCACGTCAGTGCGGAAAGTGCTTATAAAATATCAGTCTGCGAGATGACAGATCTTAACTCGCCGGTAGATGTATTTAGATAAGGCCGTAAAACGAGACGAGGCGAGACGGGGCGAGGCCAAAGAGTGGGTGTATGAGAGAGAGAGAGAGAGGGGGGGCGGTGCGAGAAAATTGTCAGTGTAATATCCTCATCTGAAATTCCTCCGGAGAATATTCGGAAACGGAACTCGGTAGTAGAAAACTTTATTACTACGGCCGGCATGACAGTAATTATATTCCGCGGAATATAATTATCGCGAAGCGCGATAGCCTCCGCGCCAAGTCCGATATGCATTATTACCGTAGGGCGTATCAAATTGAAAACGAGCACTCGCACGGACCGAGGGTAAACAAGGAGCGTTACGCGAATCTGCGTAATTACGCAAACGGGCCGCAGGAAGAGATCGGCCGTTGCAATCGGGCTTTCTCGACTTTTAATTCTAATTCCGTTGCATCAATAAACTCGTCAAAAGTTACGACCTCTCTCACGACCGTCAATCCCACCACCATTGTTCCACAAGAGACGTAAGCGTGGGCCGTCTGCAGCCGGAAGCGAGAGTTACGCTGAAACCGTTCGCCTCCGGACGTCGAACTTACGCCCGACATGAATATTTATTGAACTGCGAATTATAGAACGTGATTAACGCCCTTTGCGAACGAATTTTTCCTTAACTCCAATTCCCAGCAAGTCGAGCATATTCTCTATACAAAACAAAATTATACATAAAGACTTAAAGATTGGAATAAAAAGATAAAAAAATATATATATTGCTTTATGAAAACCTTCGCGAATAACTTCGCGATGCCTTAAAGCATCGCACGGCTTTCTGAGGCGTACATGTAGCGATGGCTATAATCATCTCACGGACTTAGAAGGTTAAATTCCCGAAGCTGCAGCCGCGCGCGCATTATGGCGAAATCCAATGTGAGTTTCCTTTTCTCCCAGCGCGCAGAGCACCGTATATTTTTCATATTATTATCGAGTTGTCGGAGCGAAATGTTGAGTTGTTTGCACAAAGTGCAAAAGATCAAAAAGCACACGGCCTGTCTCTCGCGTTTCTGATGAAACGGGAGGCCTCTATTTATCCGCGGGGTTTGTATTATATTATTATCAGCCGCTGCGTGTTTCGATATACCGCTTGAGTACCATTTCACCGTTCCTTCTTGTGCGGCTCTTTTAACGCGCGCACGTCACGTGTTTTTCGCGAAACAGCGTTATACAGCGCCTTCCGAAAAATGAGACGGTTTTTTATCGGACGGAGGCATCAACTCGTTAAGCTGCGGAATGGCCTAAATTATCCCCGGGGGTGTAATTAACCCTCAGTTAAGAACGATTACTACCGCCGCAACTTTCGCAATAAATAACCCGGTCGTAAACACGACGAAAAAAATATTCACCCTCGTCGGGATCGTAAATGCGCTTAATCGTCCAAGTATGCTCCCCGTCGTTACATCATTCGCGGGACAGACGCACTCTCGCAAGTCGCTCCGGTCGTTCACGTGCGAACAAGCAAATGCGAATCCCCCCACGGAATTTATTACGTCCCAATAAATTCGCTTCGTGTCGCTCATTAACGATCCGCGGCTCGGGCATTCACGACAGCGTCCACGGACACCGGACGTTCTCTCGTCCTCGCGGACGACGAGCGCGCACAAAGACAGCCGGCCGTTTTCTTCCTCTCCGACGCGCAATATTAAGCAGTAATATCCTTAGAACATCTCGTTCGCGTAATTTTCTTACACGCGGCACACGGGTGGTAACGGCGACGGTGGAACGAAGCCGCACGGTAGGAAAAATTAAAAAGGACACATCGACAAAGAGAAAGAGAAAGAAAGAGGGAGAGAGGGGAACAGAGAGAATATCCGGCGATCTCTCGCTTCGTCCGAATCACCGGAGTATCGTCGTTCTTAACGAGAATGCCGCTCGCAGCGACGAACTCGGCCATCTCGGATGTACGGCTGTCTGTCCCGCTCAATGCTCTGCGAGTATTATTCGCAACCGGGGATTTCTGAAAGTTTCGACAGGAGAGACAGAAAAGAGAATTAAGGAGAGAGTTCCTGCGAAACCGCGAGAAACTTGGCAATATTTTCAACGCCTTGGAAAAAGGCTCTAATGAGATTAACAATGCAATTCGTGCACGATGTTCGCATTATCCGCGCACATTCTGATAGATCCTGTCCCAATAGACGCTGAAATAGACTTTCGAGACTCGCGGCGAGATTTGCGTGCGTGCGTGCGTGCGTGCGTGCGTGCGTGTGTGTGTGTGTGTGATCGCGAATACTCGGAAGAACTTTCCGGTTCCGGCTGATTTTCAGGGCGAGTCGGATCTTCATACGTTCGAATTGTTTGAAAACTTTCGGGAAGGAAGGATATTCGAACGGCCGTCGTTACTCTTCGGGAAAAGAAGCGGCAGAGAAAGGGGCGGAGTGGATAAAAGAAGAAGAGCCTCTGCGTGCGTCTACTCGACGCGCCGGCCTATTCATCGAGCTATATCACTTGCCCCGCGTCTCGCCGTATTAAAGAACGACGCCGACGTCGAGAGACTATCGGGAGCGAGAGAGACGGAGAGGGAGAGCCAAGAAAGTGCCGGAGAGGAGTTATTGCGGCCGCGTTAAGCCCGTTTTAACGGCTTAACGAAACTCGCCGGCGGCACCGCGCAACACGTCTTAACAGCAAAGCCGATGAAAAAAGGCGAAGTAAACGCGCCGTCGGGTCAGAAATAAACGGGACTCGTCGCGACGCACCGACGCGGCTCTCACTCCTACACATTCATTTGCTTATGAGCTCATTTCGCTTCTTCCTCGTCGCGGATGCGAAATATCTCGCAGACGCTCGTTACACTTTACGACGCTCGCGAGCGAACGCGAGCGCGTCTCTCGAAATGAAATATGAAGAGAGAGGACGTAGTACGTATTGTATACTCGTGCGCGTTTTGTTACTTACCGACGCCCAAGTTAATGTGCAGATTAAAGTCGAGCTCGACTGGCGAGACGCGTGACTAATGAGTTAATTAAAATCACAAGGGCGGTGAACTGGGCTGAAAAGAGAAAAAGAAAAGAGGGTAGGAGTACGTCCCGCTGAGAATCGCGAATGTCATCGCTGCGTGTATCCCGTCGCGCGCAAACAAGCGCACCATGTGGCGAATTCTCGAAAACATCCGCGGACAGCGCGAAGCGCGCGATTTCGCCGGAATGCAAGCTGGTTATCCATCCAGCACCGTTATCCGATCCGAACCCGCTGTGCGACAAACCGAAGAAGAAACATCGCAGCAGCTTTGATCGAAACCACGAGAGAGAGAGAGAGAGAGAGAGAGAGAGAGAGAGAGAGAGAGAGAGAGAGAGAGAGAGAGAGAGAGAGAGAGAGAGAGAGAGAGAGAGAGAGAGAGAGAGAGGCATACGATCGAACAGCGGGCTACTCCGGCGCATTTGGCAACGTTGAATTTTTTATCGACCTTTTCAAGCCCGATTGTTCGCGATCGGAAGTTTGTTCCTTTTGTGAAACCCATTTCCATACCGACGCGACGTCAAATATTTGCCTCGACGGCGATGTTTCCAACTGTTATATTCTGTATTTAAAGTCGCCCAATAATGACACCCCGCACTGTTCGCGTTTTACTTTTACATAAAAAAGACTCAATCTTATTGAGATGAAACTGATGAAGCCAAGTCGATTCTTTTACGTCGATAAAGATGTAACAACGTTATCTATCCCGCGGTGATCGACGCGCGATGGCGCGGACGATGACGATGACGACGACAACGATACGTTTTCTCTCAGAAACGATAATTTCATACTTGATTTTCTTTTGAAAGCCCACAGCACGTAGTGTCATATCAGGATCCATCGCGCGCGCTCTGATGTCTGATATGAGCTTTTAAAGTTTACATCGGACCGGCCGCGTCACGAATTAATTTTCCTGCGGTGAAATATATACGAGGAAACTTTTTCATATCCGAAATATAGCCGAAATAAGTCCGGCATGTGCGCTTAGCGCACGTTTGCGCGCAAGCACATAAAGAATGAGTAATAGCCGGCGAGATACTCGGCAAAGACGCGTAAAATAATATAACTTTCCTTATGAATCAATAATATAACTTATAATAAATGTCTCAAAAGAGAGAGAGAGAGAGAGAGAGAGAGAGAGAGAGAGAGAGAGAGAGAGAGAGAGAGAGAGAGAGAGAGAAAGAGAGAGAGAGAGAAAGTGCCACGTGCGAGTACCTTCGAGCATTTGCACGACCCCAGCAAGTTCTGCATCGCAAAGGTGTAGCATATATCTGCACGTATAATCCAATTTGCGTTTATTTCATTCCCGTGCGCATAACATCGGAAAATCGAGTCGAAGGGAAAAACGGAAGATCCTGCGAGATCCTCGCCTCGCGAATCTCCCTCTCTCATTTTCCCTCACTCCGGCGGAGACAATTCATTAGGCTGACCTTCTTCTCACGCGATGAATACCCCATGCTGGCGAGTAGTTGCCGAATTACCGCCGCATTCATTCATCTTTAATCCACCTTTATGTTAAACGCGGGGTCGGAAATAAATTGCGCGGAGGCTTGCATACCAGCATACTGCTATATCCCGTAAATTTCTGCCGGCGCACTCGCGGCGGCGACCGGCACAATGATCCTCGTAGGACATTACGCGAAGGGCGCATTTCACCGGCGCGGAAATGGATGTTATTATCATGCCACGGTTCTTCGTTCCGATAAAGCACGCGCGCGTGCGCCCGCGACATTCTCGTACCGGCGGCTTTTCCATCGACTCACGCGGCACGTCTCGCACATAAGAAAAGAAAACGCCTCGAACACGACAGTGTCTCGGCGAACGACCGGACGGGTCGGAGGACGACGAGAGGAGCGCGCACAGCGTTCTTCCACCTTCCATCGTCCGGACACGCGGAGAAAATTCCGTCGGGAAGCGCAAACTTCGCCGGAAGCGCGTCGTCTTCGGCGTCGCCAGATCACGAGAGATGCGCGAGCGATGAATTATTTACACATTACGCAGCGCGCGGCGCGCCCGCGTTTACCATGCAAATTACAGCCAAGTAATGATCAACCGGAGCCGTCCCGTCGCATTCTGATGCTCGTCGTCGGCTGCAACCAAGAGAGCGAACGACGTGACGCGACGCGACGCGACGCGACGCGACGCTCGCGGAAAGAAGTCCGCCCTCGCTTCAACCTCGATCCATGTAAATGAACAACAAACAGCAGCACGGGCGAATAATAAAGTAAAACGACGACGGAGGCTCGGCGCGCCCCGCGGCTGGCTGCTACATTCACCGGCCAATTAGGGGATGCAAATAATAGTCCGATCCGACCGAAGGAATTAAGGGGGACACCTGGCCGATTTCCACGCGTCGCGCCGCGCTGAAATGAGGGGAGAGCTCATTTCCGCGCGATGCGCGCGCGCGCGCTCGCGCGCATATACGAATTGGTGTCGTTGCGCTCCTTCTTACATTTTACATTACCTTTGTATTTGTCATGCGCCCCTGCGAGCGCGACAAAGCTACTTTGTTGCTGCTAATTGCTTCACGATCAACAAGCGCGCGCGCGCTTATATAATCCCGCGGCGAAACTGCACACGTCTCGTGCGATGTAAGGATACACACGCGTGCACGCGCGGAGGTGCAGGGGGAGACAGAGGGGACTGCTGTTTGCACGTTCATGCGTTTATACAGACGCGCCGTCGATAATTCTTCGGCGTCTCTGACGTCGAAACGCAATTAGCGTAATCGCATTTGCATCAGCGCAATCGCAAAAAAAAAAAAAAACGCGAAGAGGGCCTTCATGCGCTGCATGAACGTTGTTTCCTGCTTTAAAGCTTCCCTTTCCATATCTCTAATGAATTCGACGTACGTATCACGCGTGCCAACATCTCGCAATAATGAGACGGAAAGTTTACGACTGTGTAAGTTAGTAGACGGCTGATAATGATGCGTTTACACGCACCGTGAGAGCTTACGTGTGCTTGTTAAATGTTGTTATTGCAAACAAGCAGAACTTGATACTTTGGATTTTTCGGAGAAAACGGTCGGAATATAGTCATCGACGAGTCGGGAATTTTCATGTCGCGTATAGCTCGACTCTCGACTGCAAGGGGTTCAAGAGAAGACAGAAAGGCTCAAGATCTCGTCTCCCTAATTGATACATTGTGCTAGCGCTCGTGTCCGTTATCACCCTATCAGTGCAAGTTGCGCGTGATCTCAGCGGAAACAAGCGACTTATCTCGCATTTATCTCGCCGAAAACACCGTCGGAAAGCTCCGAGCAGTTACTAAATTGCACTCGTTACCGTTTATCGCGAGCTACGGCCGCGTAATGTACGTTCCAAGAGATGTCTTCCCTCGCAGAAATCGCGCAGTTTCTGATATCTCCTTACGATAGGAGGCAGCAAGTGCCAATAGAACGAAGATATCGGACGTAAACGAGGCGTGCAGGAGCCACGTCGTGTGACCAGAATAAAAACGGGACATATATTTATATATCGGAAACTGTTAACCTTTGACCGTAAGCGACCGTAAGCGAGGAATCTCGTCTTTCTCCCTATCCCTCCTCTCCTCCTCTTGTATCGCGCGGCCTGCATTTCCAAAATGCACTGACCGATCGGTTTTCGCCGATCGGGGGAAATTTATGTATATACGCAGCGCGCGATTACATCCGCGGTGAGTTTGATTTCTCGTTTGTCGAATTGAAAGTCGATGCACGTTCGGTTTCTCGGTAACGACGATAAATCGCAGATGCGAGTCAGGAACGAGGGATGATTTCCATAGAGCGGAATTATTATTTATTGCTAATTTAATTAAGAGACCGACCACCGTACGAGCGAATAAATAATTTTCATACGCGGTGTGATCATCGGAGCGGAAATAATAAGGGTATACGCGCGAAACACCGCGCGCGCTCTCGTCGATAGGTGAGCGCGTACGTTGCTGCAAATTAATTTACGGTTACGGTGGCTGTTATGATGTCGAAAATCCTTATTAGCGCGGTCGCCATAGTTCGAGCAAATGCAACGACCGACACGAATAATGAGACGAAAAGCGTTTTTCGTTCCGGGGCACTCGGCGATCTCTTTAAGCAAAAATAGACAATGAATGTAAAGGCAGAGAGAGAGAGAGAGAGAGAGAGAGAGAGAGGAAGAAAGATAATAAGAAAGAGAGACGCGAAAAAATTCCTAATGAAATTAAGTCATGAAAAGACAAGTGAGAGCATCGTTTTCTTTCCTTTTCATCTTTAATATATCATCTGGTTTCTGTTACGTTAATTCGCTACTGTACAGCATGGAAAACCGAGACAAAATGAGAATTCGATCGTGAACAATTAATTACTTATCACTCCCGTGTACGCGAACGCTCGGTATCGACAATCTCCCCGAATAGTTCGTGTTTCCCAAATACCGATTTGCATTCGTGACTTTTCGCTCCGGCTAAAATGCAAACGTCGAAATTTCACCTGTCCGTTCGCGCAGCCCTGGGTCGGTCATCCCGGATATTCTCTCTTTCTCTCAACTTTTTCCTCAACCGCCTGAGTAATCCTTCAGACAACAGAACAGCAGTGAACCTTCTTACTTTTTTATCAGTAACGGCGTATAAATCGCGTGATTCTCTCCACGATATCGCGTTCTAATTTCCCTTCCTCTCTCTCTCTCTCTCTCTCTCTCTCTCTCTCTCTCTCTCTCTCTCTCTCTCTCTCTCTATCTATCTATCTATCTATCTATCTATCTTTCTCTCTCCCTTGTCTGATACTCTCCAAATTACGCGGACATCCGTTCGTTGGACCTTTGCGTCTTTGTGTCTCTTCGGAGACGCGAGCCCTAATCCCGTCATTTCGAATTCTCGGCACGACAGAATTTAGATCGTTCGACAGCCGGTGATCTTCTCAACGCGATACCCGCGGTCTTCCCCACGTTACATCGCTCGCGAGTTCATTGACCGGACCACTGCCGGCTTGTCTTTTCTGCCTCGACACTAACTCGCCCCAAGGATGTTGCTAGTCGTCCACTCACCGTACGATCCGTCGAGACGCCCGGCTCTTCTCCCGTGACGTTAGGAGGACCAATCGCCTATCCGGCTTGCCCACGTCGCGTCGCGCTCTTCGTGATACACCGGAAACGCTCTGGATCTCATCCGCGCCGGCTCGATCGCGGCCGGAAGTCAACCGGGGGGTGTTCGTCGCAGCCGAAATTCAATCTGTTTTCTTCTCCCTCTGTTTCCTCCCCTCTCTCTCTCTCTCTCTCTCTCTCTTTTTTTCTCTTCTTTTCGATCCTACCGATATCTCGATCTCACGCACTCGCAGTCGCCGGGCGGCGAATTCTCTCTCTCTCTCTCCCTCTCTCTCTCTTTCTCTCTCTCTATCTCTCTCTCTCTCTCTCTCCAGCCGAGCTCGATCACCTCGAGAAGGAGGTACCGTCCGCGCACACGCTTCTTTCGCGGGACCGTCAGAAAATCGCCGAGCGATCCATGGCCGATCGTGGTCGCGTCAGGGCCTCGGTGCACACGGGATCCAGCGTGACCGGGCGCGGACGCGCGGATTAACAAGGCCGACGGACACGCGCGCTAGGGACGACCGGGATCAACGCGAAGGATCTACGTAGCCAACGATCGAAGAATGCGTACGTACGCCGAACGCGGAACAACGAGCAAAGAGCTACACCGCACGCACGTACAACGAAAGCTGCCGGCCGGTACCTCGCGACGTCGGACCTCGTGGATGCTGACTTGTTGGCTCCCGAACGGGAGAGAGAGAGAGAGTGTGGGCGGAGTGCGCACCTCGCCGGGCGGCCAGGTCGGCGACCGTGCTCTCTCCTCCGCGTCCTGCGAATGGCCTGTACCGGCGGCGCGCTCGCGACTGGGATCCTGGATTTCGGATGAGAGCTCGCTCTCAAGAATCAGCACGCAGGCGCCGCTCGCTCGCCGTCTTTCTCTTCTTCATGCGCCGACTCGCCTCGCCGGCTCCCTCTCTCACTCTCTCTCTCTCTCTCTCTCTCTCTCTCTCTCTCTCTCTCTCTCTCTCTCTCTCTCTCACCCTCCCTCTCTCTTTCCTACCAGCGTGCAGCCGGTGCTCGCCTGCCTGTTCCTGCTTACTTGTGGGGCTGAATGCAAGTAACCTACCCCTGGCAACCCCCTGCTCACCTACCTACCCCTGGCTACCTGTCTGACCCTGCCCGTGCGCTCGCTTGCCTATCTACCTGCCTGCCTCTGCTTCCCGGACGCGCTGATATCTCGAAAAAGACGCGGAGCGGGCTATAAATAATTAGCTCGATGACGTGGTCTCTCTTAACGACGCGCGGCGAGAGTACGTTACAGCTTGCTGACGTTACCGTTCGGTTGATGACGCTGTGAAAGCGCCGGCATTAACGCGGCGCACCTCCACGTAAATGCATCAGGCTAATCGCGTCAATCTGCTCGGCGGGCCTCGAGTGGAGCACGCCCGCCGTGCGCGAGAATGATTAACGCGTTAAGTGAGCGATCGCGACGGCGTGCAAATTGACGGCGCACGTAAGAGGAGTGACGACTACTTTTGCCATCGGCACACTCTTTCGCGCGCGCAATCTGTCCCTGTCCCCCTTTTCTCCCCCTTTTCTCCCCCTGTTTTTGCGGAGGCTTCGAAATTTCGTCGACGAGGCTCCGAGCATTCGTCCTTTTTCTTACTTTCGATCGATTAGCGAGCGAAATAGCGCGACGCGGCTAGTGCGCGTCTTTACGACGTCTCGCGTGTAATCGCGAACCTCTTTCTCGCGAAAAACCCGGCGGGAGGTCTTACTGTATGTGTTAACTATCGTTATTCGCGGATGTACGTGCGCGCAAACATATTCCCATTCTCACTAGCCTCATGAAAGGATCCTCTTCCCCCTTGCTGCACCTTGTGAAAGCAGGTTGCCGGTGCGCAAAGGGCTACGTGAGTCTCGCGCGCGCAGCTGAGGGTGCTTTTATCCATCTACTTGCCCTAGCCCTTCGTGTCTTGTATATTTTTGCTGCCGGCCCGTGCACTATCTGCCTACATCTTGACATTTATACCCGCCGCCGACGCATCACGACCGCGGCGGCTGCTTGCGCAAGTCCGTGGACTTGTTGTTCGCGCAATTTCTAATACTTCCGGCTCGGCGAGATCGGACAAAGTTTCCGCATAATTTGTCGTCAAAGTAAAATGTCAGAGTCAAGTAGCCGCCGCACAGTGGACCAGGAGCCCCGTTTAAGTGGACAAAACCTCTTCTTGGTCGAATTAATCGTCGGAGATAGTTTCTACTAATTTGTAAGTATCTTAAAACATGCGTTTTCCACTTTTAACAATCATAGGACTTTGTAAAAAAGAAAAATTTCTTAACATATGAGCGTATAAAAAAGGAATTAAATATGCTATAATCGTAATTTTTTTTCTTTAAATATGAGTTTAGAATTAATGTACTAGACATATTTTAAAAGCATTTCTAAAAATTAAAAAAATTTTTTTAATTAAAAAAATTTTTTTATGTACAGAAAAATGAATATTTTTCGAAAAGGAGCAAATATGAGCAGATGCACTTTCGTGTACATCTTTTTAGTACTTTTGTCTTCCTATTTATGAAGGAAACAGAGTGGGATCTCGCGGAGCTTTTTTTGCAACTCTCGAGAAATAATTTTGCTATTGTAACGTACATCGTTACAACAAATTAAAATTTTTTTCTTTATATCTACTCGATATTCCATTTTATCGCGTAATAGTTTTAAGATAAGAAGGTTTAAGGAAACTAAAAAACATTACATTGCCTTTATTGTCAATGTTTTCGCAAAATGCCAGACAATCGTATTACTACTACAATTCATGAAATGTTTCGCAGTCTTCCACAATCTCGGACTTCGAGCATGGTTTTATCGTCATTCTGACGATGATACTCAATGTGATTTATATTTGCATATACTTTGGATATTTCTACGTAATATTATAGTAATTAGAAATCCTAGTCATAACTTTCATTTTTGAGGTTTCGTCCATTGAAATGGGGTTTCTGGTCCACTGTGCGCTGTGATGCAACACGAAAGACGCTCAAAGACGCGCGTGCGGGAGCGACACACGTCGATGAATAAAATGTTCTTGCCAATGTGGGACCGGGAGGGGAGGAAAGGCCAAGCGCGGATTAACCGAGATGCGGATAATAAGAAAACCGATCGAAACTGACTACCGAAGTTGTTTCGAGAGCTCCGCGCGCCGAGTATGCCTGCTGAGTTTCTCCCGCAGAATAGCCTGAGTGCTTTGAGTTTTGCGTAACAATAATGGTAACAACGGGAGAGAAAGAGGGGGAGGGAAGGAGGGGGAAGAGGAGAGAGGAGGGGGAGAGAGAGAGAGAGAGAGAGAGAGAGAGAGAGAACTGTGAGCAAAGCTCGACGATTGTAGAATGGCCTCGGATTCACTTGAGACAAACAATTATACTAATGCCGTTCTAATAGCGGCTTCTCCGCGAGTGCATGCGAGATTACCTGTGTACGCATATCAAGATCTCAAGAGCGCCATACAGGGCGCCCGGGAGTCAATGCAAACTTTGCTTAAATCCCGGAGTTAACATATGCATTCGAGGGACACTTCGCGGTGACTATATACCCCGTCCCGAGGTGTGTAAAAGGGTGAATTAACGACGGAAGCTTTGCTCGCTTCGGATCGCGGAAGATCCCCCCCCCCGCAGGAGAGACCGCGACGAATGTAAACTCAGGGTGTTACGACGCGAGCCTGACGCGATCGATCTATGGCGGATGATAATAAAAGGGAGCGTGCGCGATTCGCATGACTAATAATCGCTGTTAATAGCGCCTCGCGGAAAATAAGTGCTTCAATCGAATGTAACGAATACAGACGGTGGTGAAAATATATTGGTGGTAGCAAATGCGTATGTAATTGGAGTAACATTTCGTGCCCTCCCAAATAAGCTGTTCGATGTAACGAATACATCGAATGTAAATATATCGGTGGTAACAGATGCATATATAATTAGATTAATGTCTCATGCCCTCCCGAATAAGCATTTCAATGTAATAAATACGTTGATATCAATATATTAGTGGCAATGAATGTACATACATGTATAATTATATCATCAGTGTTTCGTATGTCAAGCATAAATTTGCAGATGTATGTAAATTGCACGATATATAAAGCAATAGATACATGCATGTATAAGTATAATTAAAAAGCTTATGCATAAATTCTTAAATTCTCCAGCAGACCCGGATTATCCGGAGAACTCGCACGCACGTGTGCGTGCCTCAGCGACCGAATAATCCAGACACTTCGTGAAAAACCAATGCGATTCACATCTACGCATGCACTATTTTAACAGTATCAAGGTTGTGTCATTTTATTCACCGTTACGTCGCGTCGAGATGCACCGGCGGCGTTCAGCTCCTTCTCGCCCGACAAGCCCCGGCCGCTGCACTGCAAACTGCGCCTCCAGCCTTCTCAGGGTCCAGCCTGCCCAAGTCCCAAGTCCGGTCGATTTTCCACGTCGTCCCTCGTCGATCGTACTTCGTTCACTTCATTGCACTCGCGCGACTCGACGCGATCGCTTCGGTCCACTTTAGTCAACGACGTTCAGCGATTCAACGGGAAGCAGGATGAATTCGCGAACTTCTCGAGGACGTACTCGCAAGTCGCGACCGCGAATCGCGATTAACGACGATCGACAGCTAACACGCGGCTATTATGCGAAGCGAAAGAACGACAAATCGCGAAACCTGTCGAAACGCGTCGTACTTCGCGAGCTTCGGAGCGTTTCTCGGCGCGCGGATCGCTTTAACGGCGTTCGGAGATTCAACGGGAAGTACGGCGAAGCCTGCACTCTCGCGAATCGCGGCTGGAAGATCGTCGGTGAAAACTGTGAAGAACGGTTGAGCGAGGCAAACGCCTCTCTGACTAACGACAGATCGTCACGTCTGTCGAAGGCGCATCATTCGTGTCGTGATACTCTCACGCACAGTAGTTTCGCGATATCTCTTCGTGAAGTTCGTTCTCGATTGTGCGCGCGCGTAAGTTTAATGCACGATACAATTCGCGATTCTTTAAAGACGCAATTTCGCGCGCGAACGCGGGCAGAGAGAATCAGAAAGAGCGACGAGCTGGAAAATCGTCGCGAAATGTAATCACGAATGAGAAATGTTCATCTCTTTGTAACGGACACAATCGCAATGCGTAAACAAATGAGTAACTTTAATTCTCCGTCCATCAATTTCCCGGTCGAGATGGCTATGCAAAAAATTGAAAACAAGACATCGCAACGATCGCGAAAACAACGCGTCCGAGAGTTATCGCACAAATCATTTCTCTCTGCCGTTTTATTTACAAAAGTTTATTTACGTAATCGCGACAGCAAGCACGTACGTGTAAGCGCGACGATCGTGGAAGTTTTCAGCGCGGCCGCGTAATTGCGGCTACAGCGCAATTTCGATGCGTCTTATGCACTGCTCAAGTTAATTAGGGAATTCACATTGAGTGACTTGTATCGGATAATTTTGTCGCTTCTACCAAATATAATAAAGCATGACTATTGTACGTATATAACATACGCATTTGAAGAAAATCGTGTTTAAAGAAGTAATAATATTCGAGGAAAAAAGTAATGAGTTGTTTGAAGGTGTGATTCCCTAATTATTCTCAGCGGTGGCATGTAATTTTCAGCATGTGAAATCTAATCTTTTCAGGGATGTTGGAATAAATCTATATGCTCAATCTCTTTTTCTTTCAATCCAAAAATTGTATCGAGCAATACCGTGTTAATACATATTCGTTATAAAATTGTACAAGGAGAAGAAGAATCTTGTCAGATAATTGACGTGTCATATTTATGTAGCTTTAGAATTAAATCATTTCTTTCCGATTTTGATAAATTCATCTCTGAAGAGATTACA